GCTGTCACACATCACCACCATATGTCACACATCACCACCATATGTCACACATCACCACCATATGTCACACATCACCACCATATGTCACACATCACCACCATATGTCACACATCACCATCACATGTCACACATCCGCACAGGTGTGTGGTGAGCTACTAAATAAGTAATAAATGAACGAAAAAGCAAGTAATGTGTCCGGCGAAGACGCACAGAGTGCTAGCGGCTGACTCACCGTCGGCGCAGATGGGACCGCGGAAGGCCGTGTACGCGCAGTCGCATTCGTAGTGCGAGTACCTCTCGATGCACGTTCCGTTGTTGAGACATGGCGAGCTGCCGCACTTGGGCACCTCGCCGAGGCTGATGCCGTACAGGCTGCGCTTCGCCTCCTGCGTGAGATCCATCATGAAGCCGTTGACCATCATGCCGCGGATGACGCCGACGAAGCCGTCCTCGTACGTGACACTCGCACCTGTGAGCGCAACAATGTGACACGTGACGCGAAATGCGTCAACTCTCGCCCCTTCATCCCTCTCTCTCTCTCTCTTGTCAAACCTGCCCTCGACTTACCTCTCATACGTTTTGTCCCCCATCACTCTGACGAGTTTAATTAAGCAGTCGCGGATGAATTAATTTCATATTAGAATATAAACAATATATAAAATTATTATAATAATATATAATACATATCTATATATACCAATCCCATATTACATATACATTTATATATATATATATATATATATATATATTATATGGGATTGGTAACCACCAATAATATATCAATAAACAAATAAAATAATCGTGCTGTGGAAGGCGTACCGACGACAAAGTCGCTCGTCAGGTAGAAATCTCTGAAGGTGGCCGTCGATTCGCTGATGCGCGTCGGCTTGTAATCGTCGACGGTTAGGCGCGCCTCCTTGCGATTGCGTTCGGCGAGCACCCTGTGCCATACGAGGTTGTCCATGTGGTCGGGTGTTTTCACCTGCAGCACCTGGATCGAGCTGCCGGCGTTGTAGAGGAACTGAATCTCGCGCGGCCCTGTCGCGGGAGAAAGAGAAAGAGAGAGAGAGACGGCGGGGGTCAGTGGCAGGAATGGTGGCGCGTCGAGGAAGAGAGTGCGCGAGCGTGTGACGCGACAATGTTGCAGACAGGGCAGAAGATTTACGATGTACGATTGGATTTGGGTGTACCGTACTGGGTGGCTTCTGCTAGTGTGCATGCGTGCGTGCGCGTGTGTGCGTGCGTTCATTTGGGTGTACCGTACTGGGTGGCTTCTGTTAGTGTGCATTCGTGCGTGCGTGTGTGTGTGCGTGCGTTCGTCTGTGTGCGTGTGCACGTGTGTGTGGGGGAAGCTCTTCTGCTCTTGAATAGCAAATATATTTGATGCATCTCACCTCAAATGTAAGGTGACAGCATGACCACAGCCAATCCTCTACTAACAGTCACAAGCATGGTTTGCCCTCCCAGTACATCCTCCTACACCTAGCATCTCCTATTTGCCCTTATAAGTGACATCATCTATCCAGCTTCACAGCAGTGACTCACCGACCAGCTTAATTCGTACAAAGTTGTTATCCGGCCCGATGCACTCCATCAGCACACCCTTGGCGATGGCCGTCTTGAACTGGAAGCTAATGTCGAACGAGCGACCGGTCTCCAACGTTGGGAAATCGACGGTGGCGTCGGGCAGTCGGAACGTCACCATGTTTTCGAACAGATCTAAACGCAAGAAAACAACGCTCACGTGTCTGCACGGTGACACCAACGCGTAACTCGTGACGAGTAATTGACATAGGAGAGAGAGATTCGATGCAAATTTCGCGGCGCAACTTGAACGTAAGATGGACGTAAATCAATTTCCCCAAACTTCATAAATAAAACACTTCAATGTGAAATAACTTTCAAAGGAACCATCCCCCCACCCCCGAGAAATTACGCTAACGTGCCCTGTTCGAACCCAGTGAAGCTGAGTGAAACCCTCCAGAAAGAACTCTCGAAGCCACGACTACAGCACTTTAGCACTAGTCTTTACTCCCCCTCTCTCCCCACCACCAACCCACTCATGTCTTCACACAAAGCACTCAAAACTCTCTCAGCAAGCACTCACCATCTCCCTCGCAACTCAACAACGTGCCTCCGCACTCAACAAAGCACTCAAAACTCTCTCAACAACAAGCACACTCACTGTCTCCCTCGCAGATGAGCGGCCCAACGGTGTAGTAGGCCTGCTTGAAGTCGCTGATCGATCCCGTGTCGCCGACGCGGATCTGCGTGATCGGCAGGAACTGCTTCTCGGTGATGTAGCCGGAGTCCGTCTCCCAGACGTCAAGCCGCGCCGCGTCGCAGTTACAAAACTTGTCACGCTCGATGCAGTCTGCGCAACAAACCGACGTGACCCGACGAAATGGACTAGCACGGGGGTTCTTGACCTGTGGTCCACGGACCCCAACGGGGCTTCATGGGGTCCGTGAACCAGGCGCATGAACATGTTGTGTTTATGTTCTTATGTGCATTTTTCTGGGGAGGGGTCCGTAGCTTTCGCCAGATTCTCAAAGTGGTCCATGATTCAAATCCAAGGTTAAGAACCACTGGACTAGAACTTTCCTCGTGGCGAGGGGAGACGCGCAGGTGGTATGTCGCTTGCGTGATAAAATACTTTCCATGGCGAAGCTTTCAGTAACACAGCTATCAAGAACTGAGAAGAGTGCCATTGTACTTCGGTGAATACTCTCTCTTGGCACCAGATTACGAAATAGAATCTTGAGTATACATCATAATTGATGCTGGGATAATATAATAATGATTATTAATCGTAAGAAAGGTTTACCTTCAGTGACACCACACTGACACTTGCCGGACCCTGGACTTGCTCCTCCCCAGTTTGCCATCATCTGGTTGGTACGGCCGACCCACCAGCTGTACGGTTCAAAGTCTGTGAATCAATGCCGACGCGTACAGCATTTATTACAGTAGAAAATCCTTCACTGAGAATTAATAACATGATGTATCGTATTCTAATATGTTGACAGCATACATATATATATATTGCTGTTATACATATACCCACGCTCATACACACAGAATCTACACACTCATTCATGCGCACACACATTTATGACATTATGATGCTATAAAAAGCTTATCCCGGGTTGCAGTAAGGGGAATGAAACAGAAGAAATACATTCTGCTTATAGTCTGAAGAAATAACATCTCTCTCTTGCTCTCACTGTCTCTCCTGCTCTCTCCTCTCTCTCTCTCGCACTCTCTCTCTCTCTCTCTGCCTCTCTATCTTTCACGCTCTCTCGCTCTCTCTGTCTCTCTGCCTCTCTATCTTTCACGCACTCTCTCTCTCTCTCTCTCTCTCTCTGGTTCTCTCGTGCGTTCTTACGTTCGTTGATGTTCCGGCCGAAGCCAGAGTTGAGTAGGCGCGCGCCGCGACATTCGTAGGTCAGCAGCTGGCGACAGATGAGTGACCGGTTGACCATGTCGTGAATCTGGTGCTCGTCGGCATCATACAGCATGATCTGTCACAGAACAACGAGATCGTCACACATCACACGTCACATGTCACATGCCGGAACGACGCAGCGATGGACGATAGAACTGCACGACGTAGCGTGTAACAGAGAACCCCCCCTGAGTCACATGTCACATGCCGGAACGACGCAGCGATGGACGATAGAACTGCACGACGTAGCGTGTAACAGAGAACCCTCCCTGAGTCACATGTCACATGCCGGAACGACGCAGCGATGCACGACGTAGCGTGTAACAGAGAACCCCCCCTGAGTCACATGTCACATGCCGGAACGACGCAGCGATGGACGATAGAACCCGCACGACGTAGCGTGGAACAGAGAACCTCCACTGAGTAAAACATTCGATGCAAGACCGAAAAAGATTTGCACCACACGATCTGGACTCTGTAACTCCACTATGTGGGAAAAACAACCCCACGATACAGAGACAGAAATCACGCTATGCACATATTGGAGCCTTATTTTAATCGACAACAAAACCCCACAATATGGACAATGGAATCCTAAGATGCAGGATATGGAATCCTCAGACAGGCAGAATATAACAACCTGGCACAGACAATGGCACCCCATGTGTAGACAAATGAATGCTAGGATACAAACAAGAGCATCAGATGAGCAAGACTGTTATAAGGGATGTATATCTGTGCATGCCCAAAGATTAGTCTGACATCATCGAACCAACAGTATTTACCTCTCGATATGAACCAGGTTCTTGAAAGCCAGTGACCAGTGTTCGCTCCATGTTGAAGTGATTTAGAACGGTTTCCACTCGCCCGTCCTCTGCAAATCAGGCACATACAAGTTTTTTAATAAGAGAGAGCACAAATATTGACTGGGAAAGTTAACATACACACAGGCGCACACTTACAAAAGGCAAAAACGCACGTGCACGTATGCACGCACACATTTTACTAGGTACTAGCATACCTATACACTGTGGACCTCATATACTGCAGCTCGATATGACGAAGAATCGCTTACAACATAGTCGTTAACTACTTTTCCAAAGCAAGGACAAATTTTCCGAGGCAAATGACAAAAATCCAAGAAATCATTAAGTAGTCATATAAAATTCCAAGACATTTAAATGCCTGTGCAGACCCTGTCTATCGCATCAAAATATATAAATCCTCGCAGTGAATCGCTATGGGTCCTTACTGACGTTACTACCACACGCATACTTACTGAAGTTACTAGAGCACGCATACTTACTGACGTTACTACAGCATGCATACTTACTGAAGTTACTAGAGCCCGCATACTTACTGAAGTAATTGCAGACGACGGGGAAAGGAGCCATGGGTCCACTGCCATCGAGGTCTATGCGCATCGGCACCTCCGTGCCGACCTGGTGAACAAGCTCCTGTGCAGCAGCATCACACGACAGCGGGTAGATGGCTGCAAGACAGGTGACAGCATCTCGCTTACAACACCAGCAATACTACACTCCACCAAGTAACAGATGAAACACCAAATAACAAATAAATGTATAAACAAATACACAGAGATGCCAACACTTTTCTGAGCAAACTGTAGTGAGGATATCTAAAATCTGTAGTCCGAGGGTCACGCAGTGACCCAAGTATGCTAGTGGGGTTCGGGGCATGCCCCCCGGAAAATTTTTGATTCCGAGATGCAATTTCCTGCATTCTGGGACCCAAAATGATAATAAGTTCACACTGATATTTGCTGCTAAATACATGTAGTTATTTTTAATCATGTTATATCAATGTAACACTGAAGCAAAACACTTGAAATATCATAAAAAAGATTTTTTTTCGATCGTAATAAAAATCGTAGTTGTATGCAAACTGGTCGTAGTGATCAAAATGCAAACGAAATTCGTATAAAATACGGATAAATCGTAGTGGTTGGCATCTCTGAATACACGTGAGGATAAACAAATAACAAATGCCACCCGTGAGATAATAGTGTCACTAATAATTATAGGAAATGACTGATGAACAAGTGTAACACTACAAGGCAGACATGGTCAAAGGTTTCAGTGAGACAATATTACAGGAACAGACCTACAGGAAAGAAAGGTAGAGTACGTTGTGGCAGCGCTATGGGGAAAGCCACATGGGAGCAACGTACAGGAACATGCACGTACAGCTTCAGAGATTAACTTACAGGTATGGCAGGTAGCTCCACTGTAGCCATTGCCACCACATATGCAGTAAAACTCGTACCAGTTCTGGTAGCAGGTACCCCCATGCTCACAGGGATTCGGATTGCACCTTGATAACACAAAGTCGCCGTCAACATAACACCAACATCGCAGTACACTCAGTACTCCTATTCACAAAACATCTTTGCTTGCGAAAAAGGTAAGAGAAAGTGCACCCCATAGAACGCCCACAGCGTGATTCAGTGTACGGATATGCGACGTCATGTTAGCGTGTGTCCGGGATGAGGAAAGTGGCAACTTATGCCCCATACCTGTCGATAATTGCACAGCGGTCCAGTTCGACTCCGGCAGTGATCTGGTCCTCTTCCAGCTGTCCTAGATGAATGATACGACCCTCGACATAGATGTAGCGCATGCATCCCAGGAAGCCACGATCGTTATCCCTCGTTTTGCCACCTACAAACCAGACGTATAAACGACACACGCACACACAGTATACGCCCACGCACACTGCGCATAGTCATACGCATGCAAATCACCGACAAACACGCACGCCGGTGCTCCGGGTTGAAATAACAAAGCCCTTCAGAATTCGGTTTAGAACTCCCCAGCAGCCGTTCTGCTCAACGATTCTGAACATCCCAAAACATGTCTCGAGTCGCGGATTAAAATTCAGTCGCAAATTTCCGGATACGCGCACGACGCAAGCTATGAACATCCAGGGAGCCTCTTCGGTAGCGCACCTCCGAGATAGAACTCGCTGCCGGGCCGGATGTCGATGACTCGCAGCGTCGTGCTGGGCACGTCGTCGATGTTCATCGTGATGAGGTTCGTGCCGATGTAGATGTTCAACGGGTGCCAGAGGCCGTCGTGGAACGTGCGTCGGTACGGGTCGATGACTTCATTGTAGAGGTTCTCGCGCGTCAGCCGCAGACCGAGCTTCACTTTACCCTTCTCCAGGAACACCTGCGTTCAGCAGACGATTAATCAGAGTGCACCCGCAGACACACTACAATCTAACACATCCTACTATGAAACTACAGTCCACCGATTTTCGCTTTCGAGTTTGCTGGCATCGAATTCCAGATGGTCAACGTAAAATGACATCCTAGAATTGATGAGGTTCCCAATTTCATCCTGGTTATGGTAGCATAAATTATATAGGATGGCAATGGTGACACATGATTCTTGTAGGCGATTGCTTATAGTAGAAGAATATTCTTTTCCAAGTGGGCGATGACTGTAACCTTTGCCATTTTCAAACTCTGTGTAGCGTGACGAATAAACAACAACATTACGAAATTGGTGTAACCGAGTGACGGAGGCCTCACATTGCAGATTCTGTCACGAAATAAAACTAGTGTCGTCTCTCCCATCCTGAAGCCCAGCCACCTACACTGACCTTGATGAAGCCCAGCCTACTACACTGACCTTGATGAAGCCCACCCTACTACACTGACCTTGATGAAGCCTAGCCTACTACACTGACCTTGATGAAGCCACCGGAATCAACCTCGTTGTACATGATGAGTCCATCCTCGCTGTAGGTGCGGAAGTTGAGCGTGACGTTCATCGACTTTGATCGCACGATGCCGTGAACCTTGATGAAGCTCTCCGGTGTCATGAACGTCACGGGAATGCTGTCTTGTCGCTACGAAGAACAACCGAAACCGCAGCTATACACACACACGCCCTTGTATATCGCCGTGCCACTTCCAAGTGCGGACGTGACATTCCAATACGTTCCAAGATTCAAGGTTGACGACGGTATACAGCATGAAATGGGATGAACGGATAAAGCACGGACTAAACGCGTAAGTGGTGCAAAATGCATGAACAGCCACGGACTATAACACACCAAATTAGCAGCTAATTACAGTCCGTTGCAAAATTCACGGACTGCCACATACACGCATGGACTCCCATGTACTAACCACGAACTGCCTGTTATCAATTAAATCTCGATCGTCCGTGTTTATTAGATTCGTAGTACATGAATTTCACCGCGAGCGTGGCAGCCGCGGGATAGCTGCTAATTTGTTCCGTAATAGCGGCTCTCCATGCGTTTTGCACAACACACGTGTTTCGTCCGTGCTTTATCCGTTTATCCCATCTCATAGTGACACCCATTCAGAACTCCCTCCACATCGTCAGCGGGACCCTACAGGGAACACGGCGGCCGCCATCGCGTCGTGCGCCGCAATCCGTACGCTCGCTCGTGCGCGAGACACTCACCAGACAGTTGAAGTTGACGGCTCCGCTGAACGTGATGCGGTGACTCTTGTCGCGCGCGGCCTCGAGCACGCGTCGCCCATTGAACACGATGCTCTCCAGGCAGCCGCGGAAGTTTCGCGGCATCTTGATGCCCGGCCGATTGAAGCTTGGCACGCCGCCAAAGAACACCTGCAGACGAAAGAAAAGACGTGCAGGCGTGTGGTTGTCCGCAGCACTTGGTAGTCACACGCGAGGTGATCACGTACTAGGTTACGAGCATACCATCATTAGATGACAGGCGAAGAGGAGCGAGAACAGAAGAGACTTTGAACATGACCGGAACACTTTCTCCTTCTAGCATTCCATCAGCGCATTGCTTTCCTTTGCACGCAAGGCATGCAAGTTTCCACTTAACTTTGGCCTCAGTGTGACTTCCCCTTGGCGCACAAGTAGTAACACCAGTAGCAACAGTAACAACAGCAACGACAGTAACAACAGTTAAGAACAGCAACAACAGTAACAACAGCAACGACAGTAACAACAGCAACAACAGCAACGACAGTAACAACAGTTAAGAACAGCAACAACAGTAACAACAGTTAACAACAGCAACGACAGTAACAACAGTTAAGAACAGCAACAACAGTAACAACAGTTAACAACAGCAACGACAGTAACAACAGTAACAAAAGCAACAACAGTAACGACAGTAACAACCCCAACAACAACAGTAACGACAGTAACAACCCCAACAACAACAACAACAACAACAACAACAATAACAAAAACAACAGCAACAAAAACAACAGCAACAACAACAATAACAATAACAACAACAGCAATAACAATACCAACAGTTAACAACAGTTAACAACAGTAACAGCACTAGCTAACACGTACAAACTGGTCGAGGTCGAGGTAGGAGAACTCGCCGCGTGACATCGTATCGACGGTGACGCGATCCACGCTCAGGTAGATGGTGCTCAGGTAGCGGTTGATAATGACGTCGTGCCACAGGTTGTCATCGAGCAGGCTTCCCGCCGTGAGGATGGTCTCGCCCGGGGAATCCCACGTCGTGCCTGCGTAGTGACGTAATCTACGTGTAGTAACGCACGCGATTCGTGGGTGATACTCCATTAGGAATGTTCCCAACTTTAATGTCATTAATGGTCATAATAACATATATATA